AGTTATATCGAAACATTTAACTTGACAGTATTGAGTCTGTTGTATCCCAACCCGAATTGAAACAATACAAAAATAAGATAATCAATCAAACAAAGTTCAAAAGCACATTTCTATTGCACCTTCCCAGGTCAAAATGAGTAATAAAATTTAAACTGGCCTAAATCAAGGCCATGAATAAAGGTTCATGTTCTAAACTGTAATGTAAATTCAAGTCAGAAAACATGTGCCATAATCCAAGAGAACCCCTGAAATTGCTACAGCTAATTTATTCTACTATCTCACAAATTCGGTTGTCTTCACTTTTCCTACCATTCGTGTCCTTGCGCTGAACCAATTTGACGCTTTTGTATTTCCTTCTCTTCAACTTCGATTCATCCTTGTTTCACTCTCTGTTCATATTTACTCAAGGACCACAAAAGCAGAATGAAGCAGCCACAGCCTGGAAAATACCACTGGTTTCTAAGACGAGACAGTATGATAGCAATGCAATGATATAAACTTATATTTCGGAAAACATTCGAAAAATTAAGGGGTTGTTCTTTCTGTGTTTCATTTTTGTGCTTTGAATTTTGAATTCATTTTGAGTTTTGTGTTTTGAGTGTTCATTTTGAGAATGTTGAAAATGCGTTCTTTTTGACATTTTGAATTTTTTTTTTTTTTGAAAACACACAAAACGCGTTTTGAAAATTTTGGTTTGATTATAGCTAAACACACCCAAAACGACAAATTTGTGGTTTTGGGTTTTCTTTGTAAATTTTTAACTTGTTTTCAAAAACGCGTTTTCACTATTTTAAAAAATCGAAAACAGAAAACGGTTTGAAAATAAAAAAGAGAACATACCCTTAGGTTCTCAGTCAAACCGTACTAGAAAATTCAGTGAACAGAATTTAAGTTTCATTTTATTTTATTTGTGGTCAGTTCTATTTAATCCACTTCATCAAACACGTCATTATCGTTTTACCGGGACGTAAGAAGAAATATATACCTTCAGGTCAAGTTTGTGAACATTAAAGATTCCCTTCGAAGAATGTGATTTGTACTCTGCTATGTAAGATTTATATGCATCTTTTGCCAACTTTCTCAAGTAATCATTGTTGGCAACCAACTTTTCCTGCATCAATCCACATTGACAACAATAATTGTTTAATTCAAAGTCATTGAAAATGGAATGGCTGATTAAGTAGAAAACAGAAAGTTTGATGAACATGAAATTACCAGGTCAGGTTGCACATTTTCCAGCTTATTTTCGTTGATTATATACTCATTCATAAGCACTTTTGCAGCCTGACATGAACAACACACATTTTTAGATGAAGAACACCTGTCAAAATTTAGAGACTTGTTCTACAGGTGAAACTTAGGTAAACGGAGTGGCGGATTTACAGTGGAAGCAGCGGGGTGACCTCATACTAAATTTCAAATCCAAAATTTTGCACAAGATTTTGCAATAAATTTTCAAACCACAATTAAAATTTTGTGAAATTTGTCCCACAACTCCACCATCCATGCTCCACCTGTAAACCCACATTACCAAGTGATTTCTATTACGACCTATCTAATTCTCCGTTATGCAACAGCAGTGAAAATTATTTATAAAAAGACCTTGAGTTCGCGACGAAATTGCAACTCTTCAGGAATCAGGAAAAGCAAGACATCTCTATACGCTGTTCTATAAACTCTATTGACGAATTCCTGAAAGTAACAACATGGAGCTGCATTTGATAAAAAGGTGTGGGGAGACTTATATAAAATATAAATCAAAACACTTCATCTAAAATGATGCCAAGCACCTTATGGTCGTAAGGGGGTTCGTACTGTATGATCCAATCCTACAAGAAGAAACGAGAAGAAATCAATCATTGACAGTACCTTACCAAAAAGAAAACAAAAACCAGTTCAAGTACATTGTTCTGTTAATGTGACATAAGTTGAGCATATAAACGTTCCCCTTCTATATTATTCGATAAGTCTCTCTACAATTTCTGTAGCTATTAAGCATAAAAATTAATTATTTCCTGATGTAACTTGGGTCATTGGGAAAAGATTGTACGTCCAGGCAGTAGTCTAATAATGTGAAGCCACTGAAGCTCCTGCCGCCCTCCCTCCCCCACCTTTTTCATTTTGAAGTCCAGGTTTTTTACTATGTATACCAAAAGTAAATAAGCATACCACGGAAGGAATATCAAGACCATGTGGAGCTCCATCGTTACATAACAAGATACCATTTTCCGATTTGCAGAAGTTAAAAAAGGTATATGTTCGTTCCTGCTGCTTTTGCTTTTCATGGATGTCAAAGCAATAGATCTCACTGTGTCTAAGAAGTGCAGAATGGTATTTGACGGAGTTGCATGAGGAAAAGAAAACCATCACTTTCTTTGAAAGATTCCTCTTCAAGAAGGAATAGAGAACAATAAATCTCTTGGCACTGGGGACAACACAGTAGCCTTGCTGCAGCCCTT